TACATGACCAATCTTCCCATCCCTACTTGGTTTTTCCCCCGATCCGGGATAATCGGTTATATGCCCACGGGCTTCACATCAGTTTGCACTTGCATATCATCATGCAAACTGTCCTTTTCTGGACTAGCAATTGTTAGGTTCAATTTTGCCTGTTTGAGGTGCAGCCCCCAAATCTCCTGTAAGTCTGACCCATGCCCAATTTTTCCATATTCGTCTTACCCTCACAACTCTTTTACGGTATCTCTCTATCATCCATCTCCTCCTTGAAGCTCTCCACCGAAATCCTGAGTGTTTTTCTTAGGACATCCTCTCCCTTCTTTCCTCCACGTTGGCTCATTTGATGTCTTTAGCTCTGACTTTACATATGTGGTTTCTCTGTTGTTTGGACCTTCTAGGTCAAGATGCAACCTTATTTTGCATCTGTTTACCATTACTTTATTTTTGGGATTTACGTATGGCCTCATTTCTGGGACAGTACGTCTTTGACACGATCCCCGAGTCTTTGGAATCACAAGTTGTATCAGTACAACAACAATCTACTCTTTCCAACCTTTTTGCCCATTTTTTTTCAGTTGGAGCCCAATTTGACACCTGTTACTGTTTCCCATCCCTCCTTTTCCCAACCCTTACGTGTCCCTTCTTCTCTGGGTGCCTCATCTTGTCTTTTTCTTCAGTGATGCACATCATGCCACCAACAGTATCGGTGACTACCCGGTGGGAGCTCAGCTTGATGATTTTCTTCATCAATGGCATCCTTTCATCAAGGATCATTGGGTTCTTCAAGTTTTATCCAAAGAATTCATGATCCCATTTTTTTCCTTACCTCCCGTGTCTTCCTATACTTGTTTCTTTCCCTCCGCTTCGGCATCCCATGACCAGCCAGCATCTGCCAGAGGCAGTTCAGGAACTACTGTCTCAGTAGGCCATTGAACCTGTTCTACATCCTTCACCAGGTTTTCATTCCAGACTCTTTGTTGTTTCCAAGAAAATTGGGGACTAGAGGCATGTCATCAATTTGTCCTGCCTCAATCGCTTTGTTCACCTGCCCGGTTTACCATGGAGTCATTTCTCACCCTATGGGCTTATGGATGACCAAGATGTATATCGCCAATGTTTATCTCCACCTCCCTATATCACCATGATCTCGTCCGTATCCTCGGTTCGTCTATCACAAAGTGGTCTATGAATTTCGAGCCCTACCCTTCAGGCTTGCTTCCACCTCATGTTTTCTGTTGGGTGGTCAGAGGTTTTTACTCACCATCTTCATGCTCTAGGGTTGTGATTCCACCATTATATGAACTACTGGCTTCTTATGGCTCATACCAAACTGGAGTCAACCTACCCAATATCTTGTCCACTTGGATGTCTTTTTCGACATTGATCTCAGTAGAGCCCATTCTTCTCCTCTACAAGAGTGGTCGGCAACTTTTTTTTATTGCGGGTCAATTTTTTTTTTAAATTTAGCATTGCATTGGGTCAGTGATAGTCATATAATTCTTAATACTGGTACATGTATTTAGATGTGTATGTTTATTTACATACAACAAACAAAATTAATAGTTCGACCAGCTTGAATATTTTTCCCTAAAATTGATCATAAAATTCTTTGTAGCTTTACTTTTAATATCTTTGTTCTTTTCACATAGCTGAGAAATTTGAACTGAGCAGTGATTGTGCCCTCACGGGTTGCAACGGTGAAGCCAACTTTTGGCGGGTCATAGGTTGCAGACCAGTGCTCTACGACTTCGTTCCATGGAACTGGTAGTTCGCCATGAGCTTTTGGGGATGTGGTCTTCAATGACATCATTGGTCCCCCTCACTCATGCACATATGCGATCCCTTTAGTGGGCTGTTCACAATCAATGGAACTCAGCTCGGGATCCTTTGTCAGCTCCCGTTACCCTTCCTCCTACCCTGATGGACAATCTGCATTGGTGGTTGGACAAGGCCCAGATGTGGACGGGCATAACGCTTCCTCCTAGTTCCCGGATTTCCATCTTTTCACAGACACATCCCTTCACAGCTGGGGTGCATGGGTTTATCACCAGGAAACTTCAGGTCATTGGTCTGTAGACAAAAGGTCTTTGCATATCAACGTCCTTAAGCTTCTCGCTGTCTGTCAGAATTTGAACCACTTTCTTCCTCTTGCCAGACATTCTGGTAATGATTCATTCTGATAATTCCACAGTCAAGATCTCTCTCTTTTCGAACATTGGGTCTACTATATTGGGCCCACATGCACCACATTCATCTCTTTGTGTATCACATCCAGGGTGCTTTCAATCTCGTAGCGGATCGTCTTTCCCACCCCAACCAAATATATCTGATGGAGTGTTCTTTAGATCTCCTCATTTTCCAGTGGCTTTGCAGTTGGTGGGGTTTTCTCCACATAGATGCATTTGCAACATACCTCAATCACAAGTTACCCCTCTTTTGGTCCCCGGTACCTCATCCTTGAGCCCTGGTTGTCGATGTCTTCAGCCAGGATTGGTCCCACAAATTCCTTTATGTTTATCCTCCTATCTGATTACTTCATCAGTGTTGAATCCTTCTGATCGCTCCTTATTGGCCAGCACAACCATGATTTTCAATATTACAACAACTGAAACATTTCTCTCCAGTACCTCTTCCTTTGTCTCCTTCCCTTCTTCGTCAACCTAGGTCACCAGTTCTACATCCAGCCATTCACATCCTTCGTCTTCACATCTGGCTTTTATTCAATCCTTGGCAAGGAGGTCAGGTTTCTACTGTTGAGTAGCTTTCCTTTTAGCTCATTCCATACGTCCTTCTTCATTGGAGGTGTATCAGTGCAAATGGAAAGTGTTCCACAGTTGGTCTGCAACTCAGGGATTCCCTGCTGACCAACCTCCTGTTTTTCGAGTGGCAGTTTGTGACATGGCTTTTCGACAGGGGGTTATCTGGCTGCCTTATCCCATACCTTTCATTTTTCCTGATATCAAATTCTTGCTTCCCCTGTCCTTACCTGGTTAATCCATTCGTTCCAGATTCATCGTTCCCCCCAGATGGCCTACTCTCCCGGGCTGGGATATTAATATGGTCCTCTGTTTTCTCACTTTACCTCCATTTGAAAAGCTTTCCTCGGGTTCCATGTTTCACCTTTCCCTTAAAACATATTTCCTTCTCCTCTTAGCTTGTGGACGTCAAAGGTCTGATTTGTTTGCCCTTATCTACTAAACATGGCCAAAAAGTATACCTGGTTTAGAAGTGGTGCAGTTCCCCTCGTTAGATCTGACTATCTCATTTTCAGGGGTATCCTTCGGTTGCTTTTTGGGGGGGAGGGGGTACTTCTGTCATTCCCTCACACCGGTCCCACCACCTAACCAGTATGGGATTCTAGCTAATCTTATTAGAAGAGGGAAGTACTTTATCGGAAGTTATAATTTTCCTATACTGAAAATGTATTTCCGATAGGTACTTCCCTTCATTCACACTTCCTCCCTACTTTACGCTGGTACTTATGTCTTCTGCTAAACCTCAAAGTGATAGATTGATGATTTACATGAGACACACGTTGGAATCATTCGATTACAATAGGGGTGAGCAGAAGGCTTATGGCATGCATAAAGAAAAAATTCATTATAGAGGGCAGCACTGGAAGAGAATAGCTAATCTTGTGAGTAGAGGGAAATACCTACCAGAAATATTTTTTCAGTATAGGAAAATTATAACTTTTTTTACATCACAAAAATAAGGGGTTTGGCTGAACCTGTACATTTGTGCTTATATTGTAAAAAAAAAAAATATATTTATATGTATATGTAGTAATTAACAAAAAGGAAAAAATATATATATATAAAAACTGGGCAGACCCCTAAAACAGGGTACTTGTTCTACTTTTGGAAACTGTGAGGAGATGGGCTTGTAGAATGATACTTGTGTCTGTTTTAGGAAATTTGAGGCATGAACAGACTTAGAATATTTTCTGTTTTCTCTTCAGCATATAAAGATTAGGGTGATTTTATTACCGCCACCACTGAAGGTGTTGGAGGTTGTTTTCACACCATGTGTGTGTTTGTTACCAAGATGTCTCAAAAATGGATGAATGGATTTGGATAAAAGTTGGTATAAATTTGGACTATGACCCAATTTAGAAGTGATTAGTTTTTGAAGGGTCAAGGTCATGAAAATAAAATCCCTGTCTGTTAACATGGGGACCAATTTTTCCCATAATTTTTTCTCTATAACTCAGTCAAAAATGATCAGATTTTGATTAATGTTGGTGAACACATGTAGAATATTATTCCTCATTGTCCTGCTAAAAATGATCTGTGTCCATTGGTAACAACAGACATATACACACATTTTCATATTTTTTGTGGACCAAATATGAACATCACTGCATGATGGAGGTATGTACTCTGCTGAGTGCCCCTCTAGTTTAAGTACGTAAAATTGTTAAAGACCTGGATAATCTGTTTAGTATATGGTATTGAAATGGTGTTATAAATGTGATTTTGAATTGAAGGGATAAGAATTCTAAGCTTTGAACACACAGGTCTAGACTTGTATTGTTGTTGTTTTTTCTGCTAGTTATAAACTGAGCTTTTTGAATCCCAAATGGCCTATCACCGTGGCACCTAAAAAGTGATGTGGAATCTAGAGATTTTTTTCATTAAATAAATCAGTGTGTGTATTGTATTTATGTCTAAAAATGCATAACTTTACGAATTGAAAATTGGAGCAAGAGAGAGAGATAACCCTTGTCACTAACTAGGATAAACTACTGTACTATCCTGGATTTTATTTAATGCTGCCTCCTAAATGGCAGATATTTATCAGTTTCTGGTTGTCTGATAATATGATGTATACCTTTTAATTTACAAGTTATATACATATAAAGGGCAACAGTTTATTTGAATTATTGTTTTGATGGGTGTGAAAGCTACCACAACTGGCTGAATGATCTTGTCTTGTTATTTGTATTTATATTTTTTGTAACTAGCAGTTTGAAGACTTCAAACTTAATTATTTTTTTTTAGGTTGTTGAAGGTGTTCAGTGATGAAACCATAGACTTGTGATACCTGACAATGTTAAATAGAAAAATGATTTTAATCTTGGTGAGTCCTTTATGATGCTGCTATGCTAGAATACTTGCATAAAAAAATTACTATTATGTGATAATGAAATTTTAAATAAACTTGTATTTTTGTCTGTTAAGTGATTTTGAGAATTTTTTCTTTCTTAGTTTTTATGATCTCCCAAAATTTGCAGAAAACTATTTTGAAGTATATGTGACATCAAAAGTAAGCTATTTTTAATAATTTTGCCTAGATGATTTTTATTTAACATGTTCACATTTTCTGATTACAAGTCAGCTTTTATAAACTGGGCTCATTTTCGTTTCATGATAGTTTTATCAGTAGATGTGTATGTCCATTTATTCTATACACAGAATTTCAAACAATAGTCAACATTCAGCAAAAACTCATTCTGAAACAATGAATTGCCTCTCACACAGAAATGCTGTTTCCTTTGTGATTTGCATGCCACTATCCTTGAGCTAACTCCCACCTAATGGCATGTGCTTAACAAGGAATGAGCTGGTGCATAATGACATCATCATACAACACTAGCCTTCCACCAATAGGAAGGTGACAACCTCCATGTGCAGCAACTTCCCCTATGCACTTGTACTCGTGGTAACTTCATTCTTTTCCTTGGCATTACATTGAACATTCATGTTCAAATTTCTCCTCTTAAGTTGAATCTGATGAGACTTGCATTCATTAACAAGACTGTGGTTTTCATTTTACATTGGCTTTTGTTTCAAAAGTGTTGATGGTGACTTCTACTTAGTCCTGTGTGAATCACAGTGTTCACACACATACACAGGTCCTATTTCTCATATGGCTTGTTTAGGCTCATTAACTGTTGGGGACACAGGACCACAGGAAGTGGAAAGGCCAGTCAGCTACAACTTATGTATTAAAACTTGCTTCTTTTAATTCAATACATTATGTTCTGTGTATGCAGTATTTCTAGGTAAAATGGCCCAAGATTCAGTCTCACAGCATTAAATTTTAAAAACCTATCTAGGGGGTTATGTCCTCAGACCCCCTTAGAAATAGCATGCTTTGCACACAGTGTTTAGCTGTGTCAATGGCCTTACCTCTCCAAAATTGCTTTCTACAGCAATAGGACATTGCAGCCTTTGCTCAGTGTGTTGTGGATTACCACATGCTTACTAGGCCTTTTACTCCCAGCACTACAGCCAATGTCCCTTCTTCTCATTAGTGAATGGCTTATTGGACTACAAATATAACCTGATTTGCTTTGGGCAGTGTCTTATCACTTAAGGAATGACTTTTACATTCCATTCTTCTTCTGGATATCATTTGCAGGTATGTTCCTTTCCTTATATTTTGCGTATGTCTTTTACTATTTTTTGGTCTTTCCACTTTGTTTGTTATTAGGGTTTATGCTATTTCTTTTCTCTAACAGTCACATCTACTTGCCTCATCCTCATGACTTTTGTCCTGACTTGTGACATTCTTCCTTTCCTTTTTAGGTTCCCTGTCTTTGATATCTATTTGGCCTGCTTAGAGATCAGACACCTTGCCTTCTGTTTCACTCTCTGGATCCCCCATTTTTGCATCTTTGTCTTTTTCTCATTACCCTCCTATATTCCCTCTGTTCCCTTCACCTTTTGTCTGAGGCACTTCTCTTTGCCCGCTTAGCCTTTTCCACTTCTTCTTTTCTGTCCCTCCTCACTTAGTTCCTCTGCTGTTAGGTCAAGTGCATTCTAATTTACTGTATACCTTCCTCCTTGTGTATGTGGTCTTCATCTGGTTCTATTTCTCTGTTCAGAATTCTTCATTGGTGTTCATTACTCACTGGAGACCTGATCTAAAGTAGCATGTCTTCAGTCTTTGTTATCTTCCTGATTCTTCTTCTTTCTTGATCTTGCCCTTTGCCTCCTTCCTCCTCTAGATTGGTCTACCACCACCTTTCCCATTCCATGTTCTGGCCCTTCCTCTTTTTCTTTTCCTCCTGCTACCCAACCTCTGGTTCATTGCTTTTCTTGTTAGTGACTATCTTTTCACATTAGACCCTGTGGGTATCCATCTCTTCCTCTTTGCAAGTCATTGGTCTCAGTTTTTGCTGACAGGTGTTTTCATATTCTCTCCCATAGTCTCTCACCCCACTTCACTCCTCTTTCTATTTCCTTTTCTCCTCCCTCCAACCCTGGCTATGGTCTTTTTCACCAGGTTGATGTGTCAGACTCCTTCCTTATACATCCGTATTTTCCCATTCTCCAGACGTTTTCTATATTCCATCAATCAGCTCCACATCTTCCAATTCCAGCATCCTTCTGTATTAATTTTTATAATGAGAAGTTATAATGACAGCTTGAAGTTGTCATTCCTTTTTTGGCTTATATTGGCCCATTTGTGGGAGTTATCCTTTTCTCACACCTCTTTTCTTTTGCAGGAGGATTCTTGTTTGGGGGTGACGTGTTAAGATGTACAAGTCCTTTCATGTGATACATCTGGGTGTTTTCTCCATCGAGCTCAGCCTTCTCTTCTTCACTTGCTAGCTGTGGAGTCTCTGCTTCTTGTTATCAACCTCTTCTAGTGGTCTCTGTAAATCTAATACATCCTTTCTTAGATTCCTTTGTCCTCAATTTTGAACCTCTCCTCTCATCTCCTGAAGGAATTGTCATGATGCTGGGCTGTATCAATACTACTTTAGGGGTTCTCCTACCAACCCCAAACCAGATGTATCTCTTCATCAATGCTTCCGTCTCAAGTTGAGGTGCATTTCTTGGTGATGACATGACTTTTGTCATTTGGATTTACTCAAACTTCTCACTGTTTGTTGAGCATGAACCCATTTCATGCCCATTTTGGTGGATCATTTGGTTGCAATCCACTCCAACATTTCTATGTTTCCTACATCAATCACCAAGGGGGCACTAATTCCTGGATCCTTTGCTTTCGGGCATCAGACCTACTCTTCTAGGTTCATTCGCATTGGGTTTGTGTTGTTGCCTGTCATGTGCCAGGAGCTATGAACTTAGTGGTGGATAGCCTTTCTTGGCCAGACTGCGTTCTACCCATGAAATGGTCTCTTCACCCGCAGGTCTTTGTTGGTTTGCTCTCAGTTGGGCATGCCCCTCATAGATGCCTTTGCCACCCATCTTGACTTCAGACTTCCTCTCTTCTGATTCTCTGTTCTTTATCCTTCAGCTCTGGCTGTCAAAGTTGTCAGACAGGACTGGTCTCACCTTTTTCTATATACCTATCCTCCTCTCTGACTCCTCCCTTGGACCCTTACCTTGATATGTGACACTCTTTCTGATATCCTACTGTGATGCCTCTTTGGTCACTCGACCTTGTTTCCTCTGCTTGTTTGCTTGGCATCTCTCCTTCTTATACCCAATATTCCCTCAATCTTTCTTCAACCTTACACGTCCCTTTTTTGTCAAGGGATGTGGTCCCTCCATTTTCATGTGTGGGATTTGTCTGGTCCATCACCCATTGGGCTGGACTCTTCTATTATGTAGCCTTCTTGTCACATTCATAATGCCCTTCTACTGTAAAACCATTGTAAAAAAAAGTACTGGCTAGCGGAATACTGTAGTAAAGAAAGCAGGATATATTTTTATAAACACAAAAACCTATAGATGTAACTTAAAACACAAGTTTTAGAAATAAAAATGTATAGTTTTGTTAACTTCCTATTTCATGTTGCTGATAATGTACTGATGCATATTTGATTATTATACTCTAGCCTTTCCAGAGATTTAACTTTAGTTCTAAGTGTGATAGTTCATGATAGTTGGGTATGCAATTACTTGAGATTATTCTTAACCTTAATCAGTTTAGTACTGGCCTACATTATGGTGAGCCAGGTTTTATCCTTTGCAGGCCTACCATACAAATCAATTAAAATGTGTATGTATATTTATACACTTTCAGCTGTATTTGCAAGCTAAAAACATAAAATCCAAAATAATTCTACAGGTAACTTCTCAGACGCTCCAGAAGTATGCTTTGTTTAAAAACTTGTATCCCAACTAAAAAACAAAGTATTTAAGATAAAAATAAAAATACTGTCTCAGGTGCTCCGGAAGTATACTTTGTGGAAAAACTTGTATTCCAACTAATTTAGTAAGAAAAAAAAACATTCATGAAAAAAAATAAAACACAGTATTTCAGATAAAAATAAAAATACTGATTTGTTTTTTTAAATGATGTTCTGAAAAGTATTAAAACCACTTTCTAACAACCTGTTATATAAACAAAGATAATATAAACCCTTCTGTCACATGGAATACAATAGTCCATATTGTGTTCATAAAGGTTTTTATTGTGTAACAAGTGGTTTAAGTACAGATTACAGATCTTATGTTACTTTTGAATGGAAATGCACTCAGTACATCAAATTATTTCCAGCTGTGGGTGAGAGATAGATAGTACAGGTTATTAGCTATACTTACATATACACAATATTACCAAGAGATATGTCTTGTTTACTTCATCAGAGCAAATTTGGGACTGATGGGGATATAAAAAGAATAATACACCTAACCTTTCTTATGCACAAATGTTTTTATGATTTTGATTATGCTAAAACATTATCATCATAATTTACATAAAATTTAAATTTATTTGCATTCATATTTTTAAGTTTACATTTATTTCTCAGCAAAATTATATAAAAATTATAGACTTAATGTACTCTCTCACACACACACAGTACTTTGTTAAATACTGATCAGTTAGAAACTGTTCTGTGGGCATAATCTTGATGGTAACAGAATGTTCTTCTCATGTTTTGTTTTTTTAGGTTATGATTAAGTACTTCATTTTGGTTTGGAAGGTTAAACAAAAAAACTGAAGATAAAAGGATGTGAAATATGACAGATGATATTCAGCAGACTGCAGAAAATTCTAATGAAGCTGTCAGTTATGGCCAATTCATTCAACCTCTTGTGACATCTAGTCTACTTTCTGTTTATCTATCAGGATCTGAAGTAGTTGCTGATTACATGCAGAGTACCACGTCAAAAGATTCAATATTTATCACTACCATATTTGGTACTGAGAAGGACCGTTACCACAAGAGCAAAAAAGTAAAGTTAGTTTATCAAAGGTTTCATATTGTAACACCTTGATGTTTAAATGCAAAGAAAAAAGAATAGCCAGTGAGCCACTGTTAAGACCTGATCTGGCTCAGTCTCAACATTCTTTACATTTTTCAGTCAATGGAATGGAGGTGGATAAGAAAACCCCTTCGCCACATTGCTCAAGCTCATCAGTTATTACATTTCCAGATCTTTCTTCTGTCTCAATGGCTGACCAAATGAGGGATCTGGCCAGTATCATCAAGGCTCCCAGTTTGGAAAGCACGTCTAAGTATATAGACTTTGAAAGCAAAAGAGAAGATGAAAGAAATGAGAAGATACAGACGTGTATATCATATAAGTACCAAAGAGATTTTTCAGATAATTGTAAAAATCTAAAAGTTGAAAAAACATATCCATTCTCAAAAAATTCTTCTCATTTTATGTTTGAATCCAAACCTTTCTACCATGATTTAATAGATACTCTTTCAGGTCCTTCAGAAGACAGAAAAATGCAAAAATTACCTCCTGTTTCAACTATATTACAGCCTCATATGGCCTATTACTCTAGAGAAATGTACAAACCATTTCAGTTTGACTTAGTACAAGAAGTACCCTTCCAGGAAAATGCAGATGTTTCCTTGGTTTGCGAATCACCATTTTTATACTGTAATCATCAAGAGACACAGTCTTTTGTTTCACATAGTTTGACAGAGCACCAGAAGGCTGTAGTAAAATCCAGCCCAATGGATAATAGTTTCTTTGGTGTACTACCAGCTTCTACCTCAGATTTTGGACTAGAAAAGCAACAGGCAGTTCAAGCTGCCCATGCCTTTACAGAAATGCCTCATAGCTTTTTCAAACATCAAGGACTAAGCACTGCAATGACTAATACTCGTAACATAAAAAGTGAATCAGGTATGTTTTACCACACTGACAGTAAACACTCTACAGCAAATGATGAAAGTATCCTGGTTTTACCCTCCACAAACCCTTTGTTAACACCTTTGAACTTTGGAACAACAACATACACATCATCTACACCACCTCATGCTTTCCAGAGCACTGAACTTCACCACTGTGATTCACATAGCCAAAGAAAGTGTGTGATTTCATCAAATCTGTCCACTAGAGCTGCCTTAAATTCACTGCATTCTGTTGAATCTGTTCGTCCTTGTGCTAGTGCTGACACATTAGCTGCATCGGTATCAGTAGCAGCAACTGAAACAGTGCCTAATCATTCTTTTATGAAAACAGTAGACATGCCATCAGAGATGCCTAACCTCCATTGTTCCAGATCTATTTCTAGTAATTCACCATTTTCCAAGCTTTGTGAAGTAGTATCTAAAGAGAGCACAGACATTGGCTTAAAAAGCTCAGGAAGTGTTCCTATTACGACAACAAGATGTTCAGTTTTATCATCCATTAAAGAAGAGCCTTTGGATATGGAAGTATCTTCCCATGGAACATTTTCTGATGAAAACTCTTTGCAGCCTCCTGCAGTGGCTCCACTTCCCAGCATGATGACCTTCTTTAAACGTAAAAATACAACTGAAAGTGGTTCAGAATTGCAGGTTTTGCCACCATTTTACACTCTTTCTGGCTATACTACTTTAAAAAAGCAAGACAAATTTGAAACTCCTGAGAACACAGGCTCTACCTTGGAAAGATTATCGCTGAAAAAGGAAATCTCAGCGAATATAAGAAAATCAGCTGATATTTTTTCACCATCATCTATGTCTGTCGTCAGTACTAGTAGACATGGAACACTTGCAGACAGTAACTCACATTCTTGTGTTTCATTAAATTGTGTAAAATGTGAAGTAGTTAGCAGTCCTACTCAGACAGTTTCAACAACTTTGCCTGTTTCCAAACCACCTTCTGCCTCCATTGATAAAATGAGACCATGTGTTTCCCCAATGGGTTGTGAGATTTCTGTACATGAAGACAGCAAGCTTAGTGAAAAATACTGTTTGTTGTGTCAGTCTGGTAAACCATGTGATGTACACATCCTTCGGTCTCCTGTCACTAGCACCTCTCATTTAGAGTCACCTGTCCTTTCAACAAGCCCCTTAAAACCTTTTCGGTGTAACCTGTGTGGTAAAAATCTTGCCACAAAAAATGTATATCAGAGCCACATGCGGTCTCACTCAGGTGATAAACCATTCACATGTGAGCTATGTGGCCACTCTTTTTCACAGAAGACATCCCTCACCAGACATATGAGATCTCATACTGGTGAGCGTCCATTTCCTTGTGATCTTTGTGGCAAGTGTTTTGCTGACAAAGAGCGTATCAAGATCCACATGCGCACTCACACTGGGGAGAAACCATTTGCATGTAGTGTGTGTGGAAAATGTTTCTCTCAGAAGTCAACTGTGAAGAGACACATGAGTGTCCACACTGGTGAGAAGCCATTTATTTGCCAGTCTTGTGGAAAAGGCTTTGCTAATAGAGGCAATCTAAATGCCCACAGCAAAACCCACAGCATCACATAACTCTCGCATGTTAACAAGTTATATTAAACACTACTAATAGGATTAAAAAAATGACTTTAATATTAATGTTTAAAGTGTTTAAGTAATAAAATGCCTCTAGACACTGTTAGACTTAGAGAAATGGTAATGACATGATTCTGTAGGCGTCTTAGAGGCATTTTTTTATCGTTATTTAACTATTATGTTATTGTAAGTGGGACAAAATAAGTGAAAAAAATTTGTGATGAGTTATTTTAAGAAACATAAAATCATATCTTAGTTATAAAATTTGTAAGAAGAAAAACAGTTCAATTTTTTTTCCTGTTATTATATAGTCCTTTTTAATACACAAATATGAAATAAATCTGTAAACACGAGACCAAAAAAGCAAATTTGGTGATATAATTTGAGATGTAGTCCTAAAGTGCACTTAACAATAGATCCTTGCAAAGCTACACACCATATGGAAATGTCAGAGTGCAGTAACTCAAGCTTTTATTCAATGTCGCATAGCGATATTAGATGTCATTAATTGTGTATAACTATTATGTTGCCAAGCAACTTGAAGACTCAATATAACAAGACGTTTTTTCAGTTTATTGAATCTGTTTAATGATAGTTTCATAAGGTTGCCTCTTGAATATTCTTTTAAACTGAAGTACAAAATCCATTGATTGTTTTATTCAAACAGACTGACTGTAAATATTATATTTAAAAGAACTGCTTAATTCAAAAATGAACTTGTCACTGAAGGCAATATACATATAAAAGAGCAGGAAGTGCTTAGTAAACAGCTGGATGTGTGCAAGGTTAGCGATCAGTGTAACCATGAATTATGTTTTTAATTTTACAAAGATAGTGATATATATATAACTCTGTGTGTGTGTGTGTGTGTGTGTGTGTGTGTGTGTAAGCCATGTTATTTATACCAGATAGTTTATAATATAGTTATTTGAACTTTCAAGAAAGAAAGACGTGTAATATATTTACATATGCATTTTTCAGTCAATGATTGTTAATTCTTTGTAGTTTTTTTGTTGTTAGCACAAAGTGGTAAAACTATTTAAACAGAGAGAGAAAAAGTTTCATGTCGATCTTTTATATAATCAGGGTGAATTTTTGCCTGTCTTAGTATATGTTTGTACTCTAGTCTAAGCCATTGAATAGAAACAGTGCTGTAGATTATTGGTTGGAATTTTAGTTTGCAACCGATTTATTCACTCATGTGTAACTGTTTGACACATTTTATTTGATTTTTACTGAAATTATGGTTTTATCATTGGTTTAGATCAATAAGGATAGTTAGTTTTGTGTGATCTATTAACAATTTATGGATATACATATCTATTCAAGTTAAATCATGTTTTCGTTCAAAAATAGCAGCCTTTAAAAATGTATATAGTAAATTTGTAGAACTAGGACATTTTGTACCTGAATGTAAACCAAAAATGTATACACACAAGCTAATAAGTGCATAAGGTGTATGCTGGGCTCAAGATGGGTAGGAAATAGACAAAGATATTTAACAAAATGTTTGATAAAACATTTATTAAGTAGAAGTATCATTAAAAACTATGTTATCTGCCGACATGTAACATCATTTACACTTTCACAAATCTGAACAAGCAGTAATAATACATTTGTATTATACACTGTTGAATTGTGAAATTTGCGTGAGCTATTTGGTGAATGTATGTTGTGTAAATTTGATTAATATTAGAAGTCAAGATTTGTTTTTTTTGCTAGTTATATTGTTGTTGTCATTTTTTGCTTGACATTGTTTACTGTCTCCATTATGATTTAAAACACCATACCTGTAATTTTTCTGGGTAAGGTTTTTTCATGTTTCTTTGCTACACGTAATAATGTTTCTCGTGATAATTAATAAAAATGATGAATCAATACTTTTTAACAAAAACTTGAAACAGATTGTACTGCAGGAAAAACAATATCTCTAAATATAATATCAAGTATTTAATTTTTTTAGAAAATTGTCACCCTATCAGTAGGAAGTGAGTAATATTAGTCAATGAAGCTGTTTGTTTTTTGCTATCTACACCTCAAGTGTTACAGTGTACTGCATTCAGTGACATGCCAGACAATGAAGACTGCTATATTGTTTGAATATTGTCTGATATTTTCTTCATGATAGCTCAAACCTTTTTTAAAAGTGTGTGTATGTGTAATTGTAGAGAAAATATATATGAGTGTACTCATAAAAATAATAGTTTATTCATTCAACTGAAACTTAATTAATATTGACTGAAATCAGTTACTGTCTCAAAATATTATAATACAAGTTCAAAATCTGCAGTACTAGTAAACCGTTTTTGGAACATACTTGTTAACCAAAAGTGAACAGTTCTACATATCCAAAATTTCCTTACTTCTGAACAAACCAAAATGTTTAAAGTATTTAAGTAGAAAAATTATTTAAGTGTGCAAAACAAATTTAAAAGATTCATATTTGCCTTGTTTGGAAATACAGCATTTTTTATACTGTGAGGGTTTTCTGAGTAGATGTTGTATATTACTGAGGAACTAAAAGATTGATAGTTAGGATTTGCAAAAGTATTCTTTGTCCCCAAATTTAACATGATGAAGTGTGATCTATTTCATACTGTTTTTAAATGTTGCCTTCAACAACAAAACTATTGATGATAAGGTAGACACCAAAGTTATTTAGTTTGATGAAAGTATTTAATTACTTAAAACTAAGTCTTGGATGTTACTATGAAAAAAAAACCTTTTCATTTTTATTTTATCCTTTAAAGAAAAAAATGAATAGCTAGCACCTTCAGTATGATG